CAATCCCCAAAATTCCCAATTCCCAAATTCCCAGTCCCCAAAATTCCCAATCCCATAAATTCCCAATCTCGATATATTTTGTTCCCAAAATTCCCAATCCTGTGGGACTTCAATCCCAAAATTCCCAATCCTGAGGGATTTTATCCCAAAATTCCCAATCCCAAAGGACTTAAATCCCAAAATTCCCAATCCGGAGGGATTTCATCCCAAAATTCCCAATCCTGAGGGATTTTTATCCCAAAATTCCCAAACCCGAGGGATTTCATCCCAAAATTCCCAGTCCCGAGGGTTTCCTGCTCCTGCTCAGCAGCACCGTGCCCCGCCTCGGACACGGGAGATTCCCAAAAAATTCCCGAAAAAGAAAAATTCCGGGAATTCCCAACAGGGAAAGTCCCAAAATTCCCAAACCCAAAAATTCCCAATTCCCAAAATTCCCAATCCCCAAAATTCCCAATCCCATAAATTCCCAATCCCCAAAATTCCCAATCTCGATATATTTTGTTCCCAAAATTCCCAATCCTGTGGGACTTCAATCCCAAAATTCCCAATCCTGAGGGATTTTATCCCAAAATTCCCAATCCCGAGGGATTTTATCCCAAAATTCCCAATCCCAAAGGACTTAAATCCCAAAATTCCCAATCCTGCGGGATTTCATCCCAAAATTCCCAAACCCGAGGGATTTTATCCCAAAATTCCCAAACCCGAGGGATTTTATCCCAAAATTCCCAATCCCCAAAATTCCCAATCCCAAAAATTCCCAATCCCATAAATTCCCAATCCCCAAAATTCCCAATCTCGATATATTTTGTTCCCAAAATTCCCAATCCTGTGGGACTTCAATCCCAAAATTCCCAATCCTGAGGGATTTTATCCCAAAATTCCCAATTACCAAATTCCCAGCCCCGAGGGTTTCCTAAAAAAGAACTCCCAAAAAAGAAAAATTCCAGGAATTCACAAGAGCAAAAATCCCAAAATTCCCAAACCCGAGGGATTTCATCCCAAAATTCCCAATCCCGAGGGATTTTATCCCAAAATTCCCAGTCCCGAGGGTTTCCTGCTCCTGCTCAGCAGCACCGTGCCCCGCCTCGGACACGTGAGATTCCCAAAAAATTCCCAAAAAATTCCCAAAATTCCAGGAATTCCCAACTGCAAAAATCCCAAAATTCCCAATCCCGAGGGATTTTATCCCAAAATTCCCAAACCCGAGGGGTTTTATCCCAAAATTCCCAGTCCCGAGGGTTTCCTGCTCCTGCTCAGCAGCACCGTGCCCCGCCTCGGACATGTGAGATTCCCAAAAAATTCCCAAAAAATCAAAATTCCGGGAATTCCCAACTGCAAAAATCCCAAAATTCCCAATCCTGAGGGATTTTATCCCAAAATTCCCAATCCTGAGGGATTTTATCCCAAAATTCCAAGTCCCGAGGGTTTCCTGCTCCTGCTCAGCAGCACCGCGCCCCGCCTCGGACACGTGAGATTCCCGAAAAATTCCCAAAATTCCGGGAATTCCCAACTGCAAAAATCCCAAAATTCTCAATCCCATAAATTCCCAATCTCGATATATTTTGTTCCCAAAATTCCCAATCCTGTGGGACTTCAATCCCAAAATTCCCAATCCTGAGGGATTTTTATCCCAAAATTCCCAATCCCAAAGGACTTAAATCCCAAAATTCCCAAACCTGAGGGATTTTATCCCAAAATTCCCAATCCTGAGGGATTTCATCCCAAAATTCCCAATCCCGAGGGATTTTATCCCAAAATTCCCAGCCCCGAGGGTTTCCTGCTCCTGCTCAGCAGCACCGTGCCCCGCCTCGGACACGTGAGATTCCCAAAAATTCCCAAAATTCCGGGAATTCCCAACAGCAAAAATCCCAAAATTCCCAATCCCGAGGGATTTCATCCCAAAATTCCCAGTCCCGAGGGATTTTATCCCAAAATTCCCAGTCCCGAGGGATTTTATCCCAAAATTTCCAACCCCGAGGGATTTCATCCCAAAATTCCCAATCCCAAAGGACTTAAATCCCAAAATTCCCAATCCTGAGGGATTTTATCCCAAAATTCCCAGTCCCGAGGGATTTCATCCCAAAATTCCCAATCCCGAGGGATTTCATCCCAAAATTCCCAATCCCCAAGGATTTCATCCCAAAATTCCCAATCTTGAGGGATTTCATCCCAAAATTCCCATTCCTGAGGGATTTTATCCCAAAATTCCCAGTCCCGAGGGTTTCCTGCTCCTGCTCAGCAGCACCGTGCCCCGCCTCGGACACGTGAGATTCCCGAAAAATTCCCAAAATTCCGGGAATTCCCAACTGCAAAAATCCCAAAATTCCCAATCCTGAGGGATTTCATCCCAAAATTCCCAATCCCGACGGATTTCATCCCAAAATTCCCAATCCTGAGAGATTTCATCCCAAAATTCCCAATCCCGAGGGTTTCCTGCTCCTGCTCAGCAGCACCGTGCCCCGCCTCGGCCACCTGAGATTCCCGAAAAATTCCCAAAAAACAAAAATTCCGGGAATTCCCAACAGGAATAATTCCAAAATTCCCAATCCCAAAAATTCCCAATCCCATAAATTCCCAATCCCCAAAATTCCCAATCCCATAAATTCCCAATCTCGATATATTTTGTTCCCAAAATTCCCAATCCTGTGGGACTTAAATCCCAAAATTCCCAATCCTGAGGGATTTTTATCCCAAAATTCCCAATCCCAAAGGACTTCAATCCCAAAATTCCCAATCCCAACGGATTTCATCCCAAAATTCCCAATCCTGAGGGATTTTATCCCAAAATTCCCAGTCCCGAGGGTTTCCTGCTCCTGCTCAGCAGCACCGCGCCCCACCTCGGCCACGGGAGATTCCTGAAAAATCAAAATTCCGGGAATTCCCAACAGCAAAAATCCCAAAATTCCCAAACCCGAGGGATTTCATCCCAAAATTCCCAATTCCCAATTTCCTTCATTTTTTCCCTTTTTTTCCCCTATTTTTTCCCAATTTCCCCCCCATTTTTCCTCATTTTACCCCATTATTCCCCCATTATTTCCCCCATTATATCCCCATTTTCCCCCATTATTTTCCACATTTTTCCCTATTATTTCCCCACTTTTCCCATTATTTCCCCTTTATATCCCCATTATTTCCCCATAATTTGCCCATAATTTCCCCATTATTTCCCCATTATTCCCCCAAAATTTCCCCATAATTCTCCCATTATATCCCCATAATTTCCCAATTTTTCCCCATTTTCCCCTATTTTTCCCCATTTTCCCCCATAATTTCCCCCATTATTTCCCCATTATTTTCCCTTTTTTTCCCTAATTCTTCCCCATTATTTCCCTATTATTTTTCCCATTTTTCCCAATTCTTTTTCCCCATTTGCCCCCCAGTTTTTCCCCATTTTTTCCCCATTCTCCACCCATTATTCCCCCATTATTCCCCCATTATTCCCCCTGTATATCCCCATAATTTCCCCATTTTTCCCCATTTTCCTCCATAATTTCCCCCATAATTTCCCCCATAATTTCCCCATAATTTCCCCATTTTCTCCCCATTTTTCCCAATTATTTTCCTTTATTTTCCCCTTTTTTCCCCTATTTTTCCCAATTTTTTCCCCTTTTTCCCCATTTTCCCCCATAATTTCCCCCATAATTTCCCCCATAATTTCCCCATTATTTTCCCCTTTATTTCCCCATTTTCTCCCCATTTTTCCCAATTATTTTCCTTCATTTTCCCCTTTTTTCCCCTCTATTTTTTCCAATTTTTTCCCCATAATTCCCCCGTAATTCCCCCGTTATTCCCCCGTTATTCCCCCGTAATTCCCCCGTTATTCCCGCGTTATTTCCCCGTTATTTCCCTGTTATTCCCCCATTATTCCCCCATTATTTCCCCCATTATATCCTCATTATTCCCCCATTATTTCCCCTTTATTTCCCCATTTTCCCCTATTTTTCCCCATTATTTCTGCATTATTCCCCCATTATTTCCCAATTATTTTCCTCCGTTTTTCCCTTTTTTCCCCTATTTTTTCCCTATTTTTTCCCAATTTTTCCCCATTAGTCTCCCATAATTCCCCTGTTATTCCCCCGTTATTCCCCCATTATTCCCCCATTTTATCCCCATCATTTCCCCATTTTTCCCCATTTCCCCCTATTTTTCCCCATTTTCCCCCATAATTTCCCCCATTATTTCCCCATTATTTTCCCGTTATTTCCCCATTATTCCCCCGTTATTCCCCCATTATTTCCCCATTATTTTTCCCATTTTTCCCAATTCTTTTTCCCCATTTGCCCCCCAGTTTTTCCCCATTTTTTCCCCATTCCCCACCCATTATTTCCCTATTATTTCCCCACTTTTCCCCATTATTTCCCCATTATTTCTCCATTATTTCCCCCATTATTTCCCCATTATTCCCCCATTTTCCCCCCATAGTTCCCCGATATTTCCCCACAATTTCCCAATTATTTCCTCATTTTTCCCCATTTTTCCCCATTTTTCCCCAATTATTTCCCCATAATTTCCCCACTTTCTCCCCATTTTTCCCAATTATTTTCCTTCATTTTTCCCTTTTTTCCCCTATTTTTTCCCAATTTTTTCCCCATTTTTCCCCATTTTTCCCCATAATTCCTCCGTAATTCCCCCGTAATTCCCCCGTAATTCCCCCGTTATTCCCTCGTTATTCCCGCGTTATTTCCCCGTTATTTCCCCATAATTTCCGCATTATTTCCCCATAATTTTCTCGTTATTTCCCTGTTATTTCCCCTTTATTTCCCCATTATTTCCCCATAATTTCCCCGTTATTTCCCCACAATTTCCCCATTATTTCCTCATTTTCCCCATTATTTCCCCATTTTTCCCCCATTATTTCGCCATTTTCTCCCAATTTTTCCCAATTATTTTCCTTCTTTTTTTTTCCCCCTATTTTTTCCATTTTTTCCCCGTAATTCCCCCATAATTCCCGGTGATTCCCGGTGATTCCCGGTGACACCATCCCTCTTTTCCATGCGCAGGTGCTGTGGCCGTTCCTGCTGCCGCTGCTGCTGCGGCCGCGGCTGCGCCCGGCGCTGGTCCCGCTCTGCCGCAGCCTGGCCGGCCTGGCACAGCGGCACCGACCCGAGGAGTGCGGTAAGGCCGGGATCCGGGAAATCCTGGGAAAATACGGGAAAAACTCGGGAAATCTCCGGGAAATCCCCGGGAAAAGCTCAGGAAATCAACAGGAAAAGTTCGGGAAATCCCCAGGAAATACCAGGAAAAGCTCGGGAAATCCCCGGGAAAAACTCGGGATAGCCCCAGGAAATCCCAGGAAAAGGTTGGGAAATCCCCGGGAAATCCCAGGAAAAGCTCAGGAAATCCCTGGGAAATCGATGGAAAATCCCCAGGAAACGGTCAGGAAATCCCCAGGAAATCGATGGGAAATCCCCAGGAAATCCCTGGGAAAAGCTCGGGAAATCCCTGGGAAATCAACAGGAAATCCCCAGGAAAAGCTCAAGAAATCCCTGGAAATTCCTGGGAAACCTCCAAGAAATCCCCAGGAAAAACTCGGGAAATCTCCAGGAAATCCCAAAAAATGCTTGAGAAAAGCTCAGGATGTCCCCAGAAATTCTTGGGAAATCCCCAGGAAAGGCTCAGGAAATCCTCAGGAAATCCTGGAAAATTCCCAGGAAAAGGTCATGAAATCCCCAGGAAATGCCAGGAAAAACTTGGGAAATCTCCAGGAAATCCTGGGAAAATGCGGGAAAACTCGGGAAATCCCTGGGAAATCCCTGGGAAATCCCCAGGAAAAGGTCAGGAAATCCCCGGGAAATCCTGGGAAATCCCCAGGAAATCCCCAGGAAATGCCAGGAAAAACTCAGGCAATCTCTGGGAAATCCTGGGAAAACTCAGGAAAACTCGGGAAATCCGTGGGAAATCCCTGGGAAATCCCCAGGAAAAGGTCGGGAAATCCCCGGGAAATCCTGGGAAATCCCCAGGAAATCCCCAGGAAATGCCAGGAAAAACTTGGGCAATCTCTGGGAAATCCCGGGAAAACTCGGGAAAAGCTCAGGAAATCCCTGGGAAATCCCTGGGAAATCCCCAGGAAAAGGTCGGGAAATCCCTGGGAAATCCTGGGAAATCCCCAGGAAATCCCCAGGAAATGCCAGGAAAAACTTGGGCAATCTCTGGGAAATCCCGGGAAAACTCGGGAAAAGCTCAGGAAATCCCTGGGAAATCCCTGGGAAATCCCCAGGAAAAGGTCGGGAAATCCCTGGGAAATCCTGGGAAATCCCCAGGAAATCCCCAGGAAATGCCAGGAAAAACTCAGGCAATCTCTGGGAAATCCCGGGAAAACTCGGGAAAAGCTCAGGAAATCCCCAGGAAATCAATGGTAAATCCCCAGGAAAAGGTCGGGAAAAGCTCAGGAAATCCCAGAAAAAGCTTAGGAAATCCTGGGAAAAGCTCAGGAAAAGCTCAGGAAATCCCCGGGAAAAGCTCGGGAAATCCCTGGGAAATCCCGGAAAAAGCTCAGGAAATCCCTGGGGAATCCTGAGAAATTCCGTGGAAATCCCTGGAAAATCAACTGGAAATCCTGGGAAAAGCTCAGGAAATCCCAAGAAAAGTTCGGGAAATGCCAGGAAAGCTCAGGAAATCCCAGGAAAAGCTCGGGAAATCCCAGAAAAGTTCAGGAAATCCCAGAAAATGTTTGAGAAATCCTGGGAATCCGGGGAAATCTAGGAAAATACGCGAGAAATCCTTGGGAAATCCTGGAAAATCCCAGGGAAATAGCGGGAAATCCTTGGGAATTCCTTGGAAAATCCTCGGGAAATCTGGGGAAATCCTTGGGAATTCCTTAGGAAATCCTGGAAAATCCTCAGGAAATCTGGGGAAATCAGTGGGAATTCCTTGGGAAATCCTGGAAAATCCCAGGGAAATAGCGGGAAATCCTTGGGAATTCCTTGGGAAATCCCCAAGAATTCGGGAATGGGGTTGGGAATATCCCGGGATTGATTTTTTTCCCTGTTTTTTTTCTTTTCCCAGAAAATCTCCCTTCCCCGCAAGCCCTGACCGTGAGGCTCCTGGTGAGTTCTGGGGAATTTTTATCGGAATTTTTTTGGGAATTTTAATGGAACTTTATGGGAATTTCCTGAGAATTTTCCCAGAATTTTATGGGAATTTCACAGGAATTCCACAGGAATTATCGGGAACTTTTGTGGGAATTTTACAGGTTTTTCCCGCTGTTCCCAGGCAGTTTTCATTCCTTATTTTCATTCCCGATTTTCCCATTATTTCCAATGTCATTCCCGTTATTCCCATTTTCATTCCCATTTTTCCCGTTATTCCCATTTTTCACTCCCGTTTTTCCCACCGCTGTTATTCCCAAGCAGTTTTCATTCCCATTTTCATTCCCATTATTCCTGATTTTCCCGTGATTCCCGTTTTCATTCCCATTTTTCCCATTTTTTCCCAGTTTTCACTCCCGTTTTTCCCGCTGTCATTCCCAGGCTGTTTTTATTCCCATTTTTCCCATTTTTCACTCCCGTTTTTCCCGTTATTCCCGTTTTTCATTCCCGTTATTCCCAGTTTTCACTCCCATTATTCCCATTGTCATTCCCAGGAGGTTTTCATTCCCATTTTTCTTGTTATTCCCATTTTTCACTCCCGTTTTTCCAGTGTCCTTCCCAGGCAGTTTTTATTCCCGTTATTCCCATTTTCATTCCCGATTTTCCCATTTTTTCCCGTTTTTCTCACCGTTATTCCCAGGCGGGTTTTATTCCCGTTATTCCCGATTTTCCCATTTTTTCCCAACATCATTCCCATTTTTCCGGCCATTATTCCCGATTTTCCCGTTATTCCCGTTTCTCACCCCGTTTTTCCCGCCGTTATTCCCAGGCGTGTTTTATTCCCGTTATTCCCGATTTTCCCGTTATTCCTGTTTCTCACCCCGTTTTTCTGGCCGTTATTCCCAGGCGGTTTTCATTCCCGATTTTCCCGTTATTCCCGTTTCTCACCCCGTTTTTCACTCCCATTATTCCCAGGAGGGTTTCTTTCCAGTTATTCCCGATTTTCCCGTTATTCCCGTTTCTCACCCCGTTTTTCACTCCCGTTATTCCCAGGCGGTTTTCATTCCCAATTTTCCCGTTATTCCCGTTTCTCACCCCATTTCCCGTCCGTCCCTCCCGATTTTCCCGTTATTCCCAATTTTCACCCCGTTTTTCCACCACCATTATCCCAGGGCGGGTTTTATTCCCGTTATTCTCGATTTTCCCGTTATTCCCGTTTTTCCCCCTGTTTTCCCGGCCGTTATTCCTGATTTTCCCGTTATTCCCGATTTTCCCGTTATTCCCGTTTCTCACCCCGTTTTTCCGGCCGTTATTCCCAGGCGTGTTTTATTCCCATTTTCATTCCCGATTTTCCCGTTATTCCCATTTTTCACTCCCATTTTTCCGTCCGTCATTCCCGATTTTCCCGTTATTCCCGATTTTCCCGTTATTCCCGTTTCTCACCCCGTTTTTCCAGCCATTATTCCCGATTTTCCCGTTATTCCCGTTTTTCACCCCGTTTTTATTCCCGTTATTCCCGATTTTCCCGTTATTCCCGTTTCACTCCCATTTTTCCAGCCGTCATTCCCGATTTTCCCGTTATTCCCGTTTCTCACCCCGTTATTCCCAATTTTCCCATTATTCCCGTTTTTCACCCCATTTTTCCCACCGCTATTTCCAGGTGGGTTTTATTCCCGTTATTCCTGGTTTTCCCATTTTTTCCTGGTCTTCACTCCCGTTTTTCTGGCCATTATTCCCTATTTTCCCGTTATTCCCATTTCTCACCCCGTTTTTCCGGCCGTTATTCCCAGGCGGGTTTTATTCCCATTTTTATTCCCGATTTTCCCGTTATTCCCGTTTCTCACCCCGTTTTTCTGGCCGTTATTCCCAGGTGGTTTTCATTCCCGATTTTCCCGTTATTCCCGTTTCTCACCCCGTTTTTCCCGCTGTTATTCCCGATTTTCCCGTTATTCCCGTTTCTCACCCCGTTTTTCCCGATTTTCCCGTTATTCCCGTTTCTCACCCCGTTTTTCCCGATTTTCCCGTTTTTCCCGTTTCTCACCCCGTTTTTCCAGCCGTTATTCCCGATTTTCCCGTTATTCCCGTTTCTCACCCCATTTTTCACTCCCGTTATTCCCGTTTCTCACCCCATTTTTCCGGCCGTCATTCCCGATTTTCCCGTTATTCCCGTTTCTCACCCCGTTTTTCCGGCCGTTATTCCCGTTTCTCACCCCGTTTTTCTGGCCGTCATTCCCGATTTTCACCCTGTTTTTCTGGCTGCTATTCCCAGGCGGGTTTTATTCCCGTTATTCCCGTTTCTCACCCCGTTTCTCACCCCGTTTTTCCCGATTTTCCCGTTTCTCACCCCGTTATTCCCGATTTTCCCGTTATTCCCGTTTCTCACCCCGTTTCTCACCCCGTTTTTCCCGATTTTCCCGTTTTTCCCGTTTCTCACCCCGTTTTCCCGTCAGGCCGTCTCCTCGCAGCCGTGGTCGTGCGGCGGCCGCGGGGCTCCGGCGCTTCGTCTGCTCCGGGAGCTCCGGATCCTCCCCGAGCTGGAAAAATCCTGGAACGCCGAAATTCCCAAACTCCTGCGGCTCCTGGAAGGTCGGAAAACCCCAAAAGGGCCCCAAAAAATTCCCGAAAAAAAAGCCCCGAAGGGGAGAATTCGGGATGGGGATTTCGGGGAGGTTCGCCCGGATTTTGGGGTTGGGGGAATGGGATTTATGGGATTTTTGGGATTTATGGGATTTATGGGATTTTTGGGATCCGTGGGATTTAGGAGATTTATGGGATTTTTGGGATCCACAGGAATTACAGGATTATGGGATTTTAGGGATTATGGGATTTATGGGATTTTTGGGATCTGTGGGATTTATGGGATTTTTGGGATCTGTGGAATTTACAGGATTATGGGATTTATGGGATTTTTTGGGATCTGCAGGATTTGTGAGATTTATGGGGTTTTTGGGATCGATGGGATTTTAGAGATTACGGGATTTATGGGATTTTTGGGATTTTTGGGATCCGTGGGATTTATGAGATTTATGGGATTTTTGGGATCAATGAGATTCACAGGATTATGAGATTTTAGGGATTATGGGATTTATGGGATTTTTGGGATCCGTGGGATTTATGAGATTTATGGGATTTTTGGGATCGATGGGATTTTAGTGATTATGGGATTTATGGGATTTTTGGGATCGATGAGATTTACAGGATTATGGGATTTTAGGGATTATGGGATTTATGGGATTTTTGGGATCCGTGGGATTTGTGGGATCTGTGGGATTTACAGGATTATGGGATTTTAGGGATTATGGGATTTATGGGATTTTTGGGATCCATGGGATTTACAGGATTATGGGATTTATGGGATTATGGGATTTATAGGATTTTTGGGATCTGCAGGATTTATGATATTTATGGGGTTTTAGGGATTATGGGATTTATGGGATCTGTGGGATTTATGAGATTTATGGGATTTTTGGGATCCGTGGGATTTCTGGGATTATGGGGTTTTTGGGATGGGAACCATTGGAAAATGGGATTTATGGGATTTGTGGGATCCATGGGATAATGGGATTTTTGGGATGGGAGACATGGGAAAATGGGATTTATGGGAAAATGGGAATTACGGGATTTATAAATCCCATTTTTTGGATGGGATCCATGGGAAAATCGGATAATGGGATTTGTGGGATTTATTGGATTTGTGGGATTAATGGGATTTATAGGAATTATGGGATAAGATCCATTGGGAAAATGGGATTTATGGGATAATGGGATTTATGGGATTTTTGGGATGGGATCTGTAGGATTTATGGGATTGTGAGAATTATGGGATGGGATCCATGGGAAAATGGGATTTATGGATTTGTGGGATTAATGGCATTTATGGGATGGGATCTAAGGGAAAATGGGATTTGTGGGATTTATAGGATTTTTGGGATGGGAGCCATGGGAAGATGGGATTTATGGGATTTATGGGATAATGGGATTTGTGGGATTAATGGGATTTCTGGGATTCTTGGAATCCATGGGATTTGTGGGATAATGGGATGGGATCCGTGGGATTTTTGGGATTTATGGGATTTGTGGGATAATGGGATGGGATCCGTGGGATTTTTGGGATTCATGGGATTTGTGGGATTTATGGGATTATGGGATTTATGGGATGGGACCTTTTCCCTGGGGAATTCTCCATTCCCGCATTCCCGGATCCCTCGGAATTCCCAAAATCCCGATTTTTTTCCCCCAGAGAACACCGAGGATTCCCTGGACCAGCAGGAGTGGGAGGAGAAGCTGCTCCAGGTGCGGATCCGGGAATTCCGGGAAGGTTTTCCCGGGATTTTGGCTCTGGAAAAGGGGCCAGGGCGGCGTTTCCTGGGAATTTGGGATTCCCAAAAGGATTTTGGAATGGGAAACCAGAATTCCAAAGGGATTTTGGGGTGGAAAACCAGAATTCCAGAGGGGCCTGATAATTCCATGAGAATTTGGGGATGGGAAACCAGAATTCCAAAGGGATCCAAGGTGGAAAACCAGAATTCCAAAGGGTTTTTAGAATTCTGTGGGATTTTGGGATGGAAAACCAGAATTCCAAAGGGCTTTTCCAGGGGAATTTGGGACGGAAACACAGAATTCCAGAGGGTCCATGGAATTCCAGGGGAATTTGGGATGGGAACACAGAATTCCAAAGGGATTTTGGGGTGGAAATCCAGAATTCCAAAGGGTCCTGAGTATTCCATGGGAATTTGGGGATGGGAAACCAGAATTCCAAAGGGCTTTTCCAGGGGAATTTGGGATGGAAAACCAGAATTCCAAAGGGTTCTTAGACTTCCATGGGAATTTGGGATGGAAAACCAGAATTCCAAAGGGATTTTGGGGTGGAAATCCAGAATTCCAAAGGGCTTTTCCATGGGAATTTGGGATGGAAACCCAGAATTCCAAAGGGATTTTGGGAATGGAAAACCAGAATTCCAAAGGAATCCAAGGTGGAAAACCAGAATTCCAAAGGGCTTTTCCATGGGAATTTGGGATGGAAACACAGAATTCCAAAGGGATTTTGGGGTGGGAATCCAGAATTCCAAAGGATCTCGAGAATTCCATGGGGATTTGGGGTGGGAATTTGTTATTCCAAAGGGTCCTTAGAATTCCATGAGAATTTGGGATGGGAAACCAGAATTCCAAAGGGATTTTGGGAATGGAAAACCAGAATTCCAAAGGGTTTTTCCAGGGGATTTTGGGGTGGAAAACCAGAATTCCAAAGGGATCCAAGGTGGAAAACCAGAATTCCAAAGGGTTCTTAAAATTCCATGGGATTTTGGGATGGAAAACCAGAATTCCAAAGGGATTTTTGGGATGGGAAACCAGAATTCCAAAGGGCTTTTCCAGGGGAATTTGGGATGGGAAACCAGAATTCCAAAGGGCTTTTCCAGGGGAATTTGGGATGGAAAACCAGAATTCCAAAGGGATCCAAGGTGGAAAACCAGAATTCCAAAGGGTCCTGATAATTCCATGAGAATTTGGGATGGGAAACCAGAATTCCCAAGGGATTTTCCAGGGGAATTTGGGATGGAAACAGAATTCCAGAGGGTCCACAGAATTCCAGGGGAATTTGGGATGGAAAACCAGAATTCCAAAGGGATTTTGGGAATGGAAAACCAGAATTCCAAAGGGATTTTGGGAATGGAAAACCAGAATTCCAAAGGGTTTTTCCAGGGGATTTTGGGATGGAAAACCAGAATTCCAAAGGGATTTTGGGATGGGAAACCAGAATTCCAAAGGATCAGCAGGATTCCTTGGGAAATTTGGGATGGGAAACCAGAATTCCAAAGGGATTTTGGGGTGGAAAAACAGAATTCCAAAGGGCTTTTCCAGGGGAATTTGGGACGGAAACACAGAATTCCAAAGGGATTTTTGGGGTGGAAAAACAGAATTCCAAAGGGATTTTGGGAATGGAAACCCAGGATTCCAAAGGGCTTTTCCAGGGGAATTTGGGATGGAAACACAGAATTCCAGAGGGTTCTTAGAATTCCATGGGAATTTGGGATGGGAAACCAGAATTTCAAAGGGATCCAAGGTGGAAAACCAGAATTCCAAAGGGTTTTTAGAATTCCATGGGATTTTGGGATGGAAAACCAGAATTCCAAAGGGCTTTTCCAGGGGAATTTGGGATCGAAACACAGAATTCCAGAGGGTCCACGGAATTCCATGGGATTTTGGGGATGGGAAACCAGAATTCCAAAGGGATTTTGGGATGGAAAACCAGAATTCCAGAAGGTCCTGATAATTCCATGAGAATTTGGGAGGGAAAACCAGAATTCCAAAGGGATTTGGGGATGGAAAACCAGAATTCCAAAGGGTCCTGAGTATTCCATGGGAATTTGGGGATGGGAAACCAAATCTGGGATGGAAACCCAGAATTCCCAAGGGATTTTTGGGAATGGAAATCCAGAATTCCAAAGGGCTTTTCCATGGGAATTTGGGAGGGAAAATCAGAATTCCAAAGGGATTTTTGGGATGGAAACCCAGAATTCCAAAGGGATTTTCCAGGGGAATTTGGGATGGAAAACCAGAATTCCAAAGGTTCCTTAGAATTCCATGGGAATTTGGGAGGGAAAACCAGAATTCCAAAGGGATTTTGGGATGGAAAAACAGAATTCCAAAGGGCTTTTCCAGGGGATTTTGGGGTGGAAAACCAGAATTCCAAAGGGCTTTTCCAGGGGAATTTGGGATGGAAAACCAGAATTCCAAAGGGATCCAAGGTGGAAAACCAGAATTCCAAAGGGTCCTGATAATTCCATGAGAATTTGGGATGGGAAACCAGAATTCCCAAGGGATTTTCCAGGGGAATTTGGGATGGAAACAGAATTCCAGAGGGTCCACAGAATTCCAGGGGAATTTGGGATGGAAAACCAGAATTCCAAAGGGATTTTGGGAATGGAAAACCAGAATTCCAAAGGGATTTTGGGAATGGAAAACCAGAATTCCAAAGGGTTTTTCCAGGGGATTTTGGGATGGAAAACCAGAATTCCAAAGGGATTTTGGGATGGGAAACCAGAATTCCAAAGGATCAGCAGGATTCCTTGGGAAATTTGGGATGGGAAACCAGAATTCCAAAGGGATTTTGGGGTGGAAAAACAGAATTCCAAAGGGCTTTTCCAGGGGAATTTGGGACGGAAACACAGAATTCCAAAGGGATTTTTGGGGTGGAAAAACAGAATTCCAAAGGGATTTTGGGAATGGAAACCCAGGATTCCAAAGGGCTTTTCCAGGGGAATTTGGGATGGAAACACAGAATTCCAGAGGGTTCTTAGAATTCCATGGGAATTTGGGATGGGAAACCAGAATTTCAAAGGGATCCAAGGTGGAAAACCAGAATTCCAAAGGGTTTTTAGAATTCCATGGGATTTTGGGATGGAAAACCAGAATTCCAAAGGGCTTTTCCAGGGGAATTTGGGATCGAAACACAGAATTCCAGAGGGTCCACGGAATTCCATGGGATTTTGGGGATGGGAAACCAGAATTCCAAAGGGATTTTGGGATGGAAAACCAGAATTCCAGAAGGTCCTGATAATTCCATGAGAATTTGGGAGGGAAAACCAGAATTCCAAAGGGATTTGGGGATGGAAAACCAGAATTCCAAAGGGTCCTGAGTATTCCATGGGAATTTGGGGATGGGAAACCAAATCTGGGATGGAAACCCAGAATTCCCAAGGGATTTTTGGGAATGGAAATCCAGAATTCCAAAGGGCTTTTCCATGGGAATTTGGGAGGGAAAATCAGAATTCCAAAGGGATTTTTGGGATGGAAACCCAGAATTCCAAAGGGATTTTCCAGGGGAATTTGGGATGGAAAACCAGAATTCCAAAGGTTCCTTAGAATTCCATGGGAATTTGGGAGGGAAAACCAGAATTCCAAAGGGATTTTGGGATGGAAAAACAGAATTCCAAAGGGCTTTTCCAGGGGATTTTGGGGTGGAAAACCAGAATTCCAAAGGGCTTTTCCAGGGGATTTTGGGATGGAAACACAGAATTCCAGAGGGTCCACGGAATTCCATGGGAATTTGGGGTGGGAATTTGTCATTCCAAAGGGTCCTTAAAATTCCATGGGAATTTGGGATGGGGAAACCAGAATTCCCAAGGGATTTCGGGAATGGAAAACCAGAATTCCAAAGGGCTTTTCCATGGGAATTTGGGGTGGAAAACCAGAATTCCAAAGGGTTTTTAGAATTCCGTGGGATTTTGGGATGGAAAACCAGAATTCCAAAGGTTCCTGAGTATTCCATGGGAATTTGGGGATGGGAAACCAAATCTGGGAGGGAAACCCAGAATTCCCAAGGGATTTTTGGGAATGGAAAACCAGAATTCCAAAGGGCTTTTCCAGGGGAATTTGGGATGGAAAACCAGAATTCCCAAGGGATTTTTGGGATGGGAAACCAGAATTCCAAAGGGATTTTGGGGTGGAAAACCAGAATTCCAAAGGGATTTTCCAGGGGAATTTGGGATCGAAACACAGAATTCCAGAGGGTCCACAGAATTCCATGGGAAATTAGGATGGGAAACCAAAATTCCAAAGGTTCCTTAGAATTCCATGGGAATTTGGGAGGGAAAACCAGAATTCCAAAGGGATTTTCCAGGGGAATTTGGGCTGGAAACACACAATTCCAGAGGGTCCACGGAATTCCATGGGAATTTGGGATGGAAAACCAGAATTCCAAAAGGGATCCAAGGTGGAAAACCAGAATTCCAAAGGGTTCTTAAAATTCCATGGGATTTTGGGATGGAAACACAGAATTCCAAAGGGTCCTGATAATTCCATGACAATTTGGGATGGAAAACCAGAATTCCAAAGGGATTTTAGAATTCCGTGGGATTTTGGGATGGAAAACCAGAATTCCAAAGGGCTTTTCCATGGGAATTTGGGGTGGAAAACCAGAATTCCAAAGGGTTTTTAGAATTCCGTGGGATTTTGGGATGGAAAACCAGAATTCCAAAGGTTCCTGAGTATTCCATGGGAATTTGGGGATGGGAAACCAAATCTGGGAGGGAAACCCAGAATTCCCAAGGGATTTTTGGGAATGGAAAACCAGAATTCCAAAGGGCTTTTCCAGGGGAATTTGGGATGGAAAACCAGAATTCCCAAGGGATTTTTGGGATGGGAAACCAGAATTCCAAAGGGATTTTGGGGTGGAAAACCAGAATTCCAAAGGGATTTTCCAGGGGAATTTGGGATCGAAACACAGAATTCCAGAGGGTCCACAGAATTCCATGGGAAATTAGGATGGGAAACCAAAATTCCAAAGGTTCCTTAGAATTCCATGGGAATTTGGGAGGGAAAACCAGAATTCCAAAGGGATTTTCCAGGGGAATTTGGGCTGGAAACACACAATTCCAGAGGGTCCACGGAATTCCATGGGAATTTGGGATGGAAAACCAGAATTCCAAAAGGGATCCAAGGTGGAAAACCAGAATTCCAAAGGGTTCTTAAAATTCCATGGGATTTTGGGATGGAAACACAGAATTCCAAAGGGTCCTGATAATTCCATGACAATTTGGGATGGAAAACCAGAATTCCAAAGGGATTTTAGAATTCCGTGGGATTTTGGGATGGAAAACCAGAATTCCAAAGGGATTTTCCAGGGGAATTTGGGATGAAAAAACAGAATTCCAAAGGAATCCAAGGTGGAAAACCAGAATTCCAAAGGGCTTTTCCATGGGAATTTGGGATGGGAAACCAGAATTCCAAAGGGATTTTGGGATGGGGAACCAGAATTCCAAAGGGATTTTGGGATGGGGAACCAGAATTCCAAAGGGATTTTGGGGTGGGAATCCAGAATTCCAAAGGATCTCGAGAATTCCATGGGGATTTGGGGTGGGAATTTGTCATTCCAAAGGGTTCTTAAAATTCCATGGGATTTTAGGAATGGAAAACCAGAATTCCAAAGGGATCCAAGGTGGAAAACCAGAATTCCAAAGGGTTCTTAAAATTCCAAGGGAATTTGGGATGGAAAACCAGAATTCTAAAGGGTTCTTAAAATTCCATGGGATTTTGGGATGGAAAACCAGAATTCCAAAGGGCTTTTCCAGGGGAATTTGGGATGGAAACACAGAATTCCAAAGGGATTTTTGGGGTGGAAAAACAGAATTCCAAAGGGATTTTGGGAATGGAAAACCAGAATTCCAAAGGGTCCTGAGCATTCCATGGGAATTTGGGGATGGGAAACCAAATCTGGGATGGAAAACCAGAATTCCCAAGGGATTTTTGGGAATGGAAAACCAGAATTCCAAAGGGCTTTTCCAGGGGATTTTGGGGTGGAAATACAGAATTCCAGAGGGTCCATGGAATTCCAGGGGAATTTGGGATAGGAAACCAGAATTCCAAAGGTTCCTGAGTATTCCGTGGGAATTTGGGATGGGAAACCAGAATTCCAAAGGGATTTTGGGAATGGAAAACCAGAATTCCAAAGGGTTTTTCCAGGGGAGTTTGGGATGGAAACACAGAATTCCAAAGGAATCCAAGGTGGAAAACCAGAATTCCAAAGGGCTTTTCCATGGGAATTTGGGATGGGAAACCAGAATTCCAAAGGGATTTTGGGATGGGAATCCAGAATTCCAAAGGATCTCGAGAATTCCATGGGGATTTGGGGTGGGAAACCAGAATTCCAAAGGGTTCCTAGAATTCCATGGGAATTTGGCATGGAAAACCAGAATTCCAAAGGTTTCTTAGAATTCCATGAGAATTTGGGATGGAAACACAGAATTCCAAAGGGATTTTCCAGGGGAATTTGGGATGGAAACACAGAATTCCAGAGGGTCCTGATAATTCCATGAGAATCCAAGGTGGAAAACCAGAATTCCAAAGGGTTCTTAAAATTCCATGGGAATTTGGGATGGAAAACCAGAATTCCAAAGGGTCCTGAGTATCCCATGGGAATTTGGGGATGGGAAACCAAATCTGGGAGGGAAACCCAGAATTCCCAAGGGATTTTTGGGAATGGAAAACCAGAATTCCAAAGGGCTTTTCCAGGGGAATTTGGGATGGAAAACCAGAATTCCAAAGGAACCCAAGATGGAAAACCAGAATTCCCAAGGGATTTTTGGGATGGAAAACCAGAATTCCAAAGGGTCCTGATAACTCCATGAGAATTTGGGATGGAAACACAGAATTCCAAAGGGATCCAAGGTGGAAAACCAGAATTCCAAAGGGTCCTGAGTATTCCATGGGAATTTGGGATGGAAAACCAGAATTCCAGAGGGTCCATGGAATTCCAAAGGGAATTTGGGATGGGAAACCAGAATTCCAAAGGGATTTTGGGACGGAAACCCAACATTCCAAAGTGCCGGCGCTTTTCTATGGGGACCCGGGGGCTCGGGATTCCCGTCTGGAATTCCCATCTGGAATTCCCGTCTGGAATTCCCGTCTGGAATTCCCAACCCCCTGTTCCCCATCCCAGTTTCTCCGGGAATCCCTGAGCTCCATCCCGGATAAATCCTGGATTTGCCCCTTGGTGTCGGAGACGTTCCGGCAGCTCCGCGACGCCGACGGATTCCCGGCGGAAAAGGTGAGTCCGGGGAAAATCCGGGAATGTTTCCCACCTGCTGCCGGGCTTTTCCCGCTGGAATTCCCGGATTTTTTTCCCAGAATTTCCTGTACAGATCCATGGGAACGGCGCTGGGGCTGTGTCCCGGGAAGGAGCAGGTCCGGAAGCAGCTCCAGGAGCTCCTGGAAAACGCGCGGTACCAGGAAGAGACGGAGCGGGAGGTGAGGGATCCGTGGAAAATCCTCCGGGAATTCCGGGAATTTTGGGGTGTTTTCATCCTGGAAAAGAGGTGGGGCTGCTATTCCCGGGAATTCTTGGGAATTTCGGGGTTGGGAGTGGGATGGGATTGGGATTTTCTGGGGGGGTGGGGGGGAAAAGTGGAATTCCGGGGAAATTGTGGGTAAAATCCTGGAATTCGGGGAAAATTGTGGATAAAATTATGGAATTCTGGGGAAATTGTGGATAAAAGAATGGAATTCCAAGGGAAATAGTGGATAAAATCCTGGAATTCCATGGAAATTGTGGATAAAATTATGGAATTACAGGGAAATTTTGGATAAAATTATGGAATTCCAGGGAAATTGTGGATAAAATTATGGAATTCTGGTGAAATGGTGGATAAAATCCTGGAATTCTGGGGAAATTGTGGATAAAATCATTGAATTCCAGGGAAATGGTGGATAAAAGAATGGAATTCCAGGGAAATGGTGGATAAAAGAATGGAATTCCAAGGGAAATAATAGATAAAAGAATGGAATTCCAAGAGAATCATGGATAAAATCATGGAATTCCGGGGAAATTGTGGATAAAATTATGGAATTCCAAGGGAAATAGTGGATAAAATCCTGGAATTCCGGGGAAATGGTGGATAAAATCATGGAATTCCGGGGAAATTGTGGATAAAAGAATGGAATTCCAGGGGAAATGGTGGATAAAATTATGGAATTCCAGGGAAATGGTGGATAAAATCCTGGAATTCTGGGGAAATTTTGGATAAAATTATGGAATTCCAAGGGAATCATGGATAAAATGATGGAATTCTGGTGAAATGGAATTCTGGTGAAATTCTGGTGGAATTCCGGGGAAATTGTGGATAAAATCATGGAATTCCAAGGGAAATGGTGGATAAAATCATGGAATTCCGGGGAAATTGTGGATAAAATTATGGAATTCCAGGGAAATTGTGGATAAAATTATGGAATTCTGGGGAAATAGTGGATAAAATTATGGAATTCCAGGGAAATGGTGGATAAAATTATGGAATTCTGGTGAAATGGTGGATAAAAGAATGGAATTCCAGGGAAATTGTGGATAAACTCCTGGAATTCTGGGGAAATTGTGGATAAAATTATGGAATTCCAGGGAAATAGTGGATAAAAGAATGGAATTCCGGGGAAATGGTGGATAAAATCCTGGAATTCCGGGGAAATTTTGGATAAAAGAATGGAATTCCAGGGAAATGGTGGATAAAATTATGGAATTCCAGGGAAATGGTGGATAAAAGAATGGAATTCCAGGGAAATGGTGGATAAAATAATGGAATTCTGGGGAAATTGTGGATAAAATAATGGAATTCCGGGGCAATTGTGGATAAAATCATGGAATTCCATGGAAATTGTGGATAAAATTATGGAATTCTGGTGAAATGGTGGATAAAATTATGGAATTCCAGGGAAATGGTGGATAAAATAATGGAATTCCGGGGAAATGGTGGATAAAATAATGGAATTCTGGGGAAATGGTGGATAAAATCATGGAATTCCAGGGAAATTGTGGATAAAATTATGGAATTCCAGGGAAATTTTGGATAAAATAATGGAATTCCAAGGGAATCATGGATAAAATTATGGAATTCCGGGGAAATTGTGGATAAAATTATGGAATTCCGGGGAAATCGTGGGTAAAATCCTGGAATTCTGGGGAAATTGTGGATAAAATTATGGAATTCCAGGAAAATTTTGGATAAAAGAATGGAATTCTGGTGAAATGGTGGATAAAATTAAGGAATTCTGGTGAAATGGTGGATAAAAGAATGGAATTCCAGGGGAAATTGTGGGTAAAATTATGGAATTCCGGGGAAATTGTGGGTAAAATTATGGAATTCCGGGGAAATTGTGGATAAAATCCCGGAATTCTGGGGAAATGGTGGATAAAATAATGGAATTCCAGGGAAATTGTGGATAAAATTATGGAATTCCAGGGAAATTGTGGATAAAATTATGGAATTCCAGGGAAATTGTGGATAAAATTATGGAATTCTGGGGAAATTGTGGATAAAATAATGGAATTCCAAGGGAATTCTTACTAAAGTCCTGGAATTCTGGGGAATCCCAACTAAAATCCTGGAATTTCAAGGAATCCTGACTAAAATCCTGGAACCCCAAATAAAATCCTGGAATCCCAGCTAAAATCCTGGAAATCTTTGGGATCACAATTAAACTAGTGGAATTCCAAGGAATCTCTCTGAAATCCTGGAATTCTGTGGGATCCCAAATAAAAATCCTGGAATTCCAAGGAACCCGGACTAAAATCTTGGAATTTCAGCTCAAATCTTGGAATTCCATGGATCCTCTTCTAAAATCCTTGGATTCTGTGGGAATTCCAACTAAAATCCTGGAATTCTGTTGAAATCCTTCTAAAATCCTGGAATTCCCTGGGATTCTGGGCTAAAATCCTGGAATTTCAAGGAATCCCGGACTAAAACCTTGGAATCCCAGCCCAAATCCTGGAATTCCATAGAATTCCCACTAAAAAATCATGGAATTCCATGGAATTCCCACTAAAAAATCCTGGAATTCTGTGGAATGCTGCCAAAATTCCTTGGGAATTCCATCCCAGCCCTTCCCAGGCAGGAATCCCTGCCCAAAAATCCTGGAATTCCTGGAATTCCAAGTGGGAATTCCCTTGGCACGGCCCAGGAGTTGGGAATAAACCTTGGGAAAAAAAATTCGGGAATTCTCTGCAGGGTCTGGCTTCCTGCTTCGGGATCTGCGCCCGGAATCACCTGGAAGAAACTTTGGAAAAATTGGAGGAATTTGAGAAATCCGACGTCTGCAGGAAATCCCAGGGCTTGTTCAGCATCTTCAAGGTGGGAATTCCCGACGGATTTTCAGGAAAAATGGGAAAAACGGGAACGGGGAGGGGATTTTTTTGGGGAATATTCCATCCCTTCCGTGCAATTCCAGGATTTCGGGAGGATTTTTAACAGGGTTCCCTTGGAATTCTGTTGTTGTCTTGGGAATGCCACGATCCCAAAATTCCAGCATTCCACGAATTCCATCATGCTGGAATTCCACAATTCCATGAATCCGGAGTTCCATGAATCTATAATCCCATGATCCCAAAATTCCAGAAATTCCATCAATTCCACGGATCTGGAATTCCGTTTTCTCCATGTTTATCCATGTTTTTCCATATTTTTTCTCTTGTTTTCCATGGGTTTTTTCCCATTTTTTTTCCATTTTCTCCCATGGCGTTCCCACGTCTTTCCCATATTTTTCCAAGCTTTTTCCATATTTTCCATGTTTTTCCATGTTTTCACCCACTTTCCCTGTTTTCCATGATTTTGCCCATTTCCCCCATTTTCCCATATTTTTCCCATTTTTCCCAATTTTCCCCCGTTTTTCCTCCCATTTTTCCCTATTTTCCCCCCATTTTCCCACTGTTTCCCCTGTGTTTTCCCACCTTTTATGATATTTCCCCCCATTTTTCCCAGGTTTTCCCCACCTTTTTCCTTGGATTTGTCCGTGTTTTTCCCCATTTTGCCCAATTTTCCCATATTTTTCCCATATTTACCCCCAATTTTCCCATTTTTCCCATATTTTTCCCTGTTTTCATGCAGGATCAGACTGAGGGTGATCCGGAGCAGCCGTGGGGGGCCCTGGTGCTCTGCTCCGGCCACCTTTTCCCACCTTTTTCCTTGGTTTTTCCTGGAATTTTTCTGTATTTACCCATATTTTCCCACATTTTCACACATTTTTCACACATTTTCCCACATTTTTCCCATATTTTCCCCCAATTTTTCCATTTTTCCCTGTTTTCCCCCTCAGGACCGGACTGAGGCGGAGCCGGAGCAGCCGCGGGGGGCCCTTGTGCTCTCCCTCGGCCACGTTTCCCCACCTTCCCCTTGTTTTTTACCTGAATTTTTCTGTATTTTCCCACATTTTTCCCATATTTTTTCCCACATTTTTCCCATTTTTCCCACAATTTCCCTGTTTTCCCCCCACAGGACCGGACTGAGGCGGAGCCGGAGCAGCCGCGGGGGGCCCTGGTGCTCTGCCTCGGCTGCGTTTCCCCACCTTTGCCCTTGGTTTTTCCCGGATTTTTTTTGTATTTTCCCACATTTTTCCCATATTTTTCCCACATTTTCAAACTTTTTTCCCACATTTTCATACATTTTCCCCATTTTTCCCACATTTTTCCCTGTTTTTCCCCCTCAGGACCGGACTGAGGCGGAGCCGGAGCAGCCGCGGGGGGCCCTGGTGCTCTGCTCAGGCCGCCTTTTCCCACCTTTTCCCTTGGTTTTTCCCGGAATTTTTCTGAATTTTCCCATATTTTTCCCATATTTTCCCCATATTTTCCCCACATTTTCACACATTTTCCCCGCATTTTTCCATTTTTCCCTGTTTTTCCCCTCAGGACCGGACTGAGGCGGAGCCAGAGCAGCCGCGGGGGGCCCTGGTGCTGTGCCTCGGCCGCGTTTCTCCACCTTTTCCCTTGGTTTTTCCTGGAATTTTTCTGTATTTTCCCATATTTTTCCCACATTTTTCACACATTTTCACACATTTTCACACATTTTTCCCACATTTTCATACATTTTTCCCATTTTCCCCACATTTTCTCTGTGTTCCCCCCACAGGACCGGACTGAGGCGGAGCCAGAGCAGCCGCGGGGGGCCCTGGTGCTCTGCTCCGGCCACATTTTCCCACCTTTGCCCTTGGAATTTTTCTGTATTTTCCCATATTTTTCCCACATTTTCCCCACATTTTCACACATTTTTCCCATATTTTCCCCCAATTTTTCCATTTTTCCCTGTTTTTCCCCCTCAGGACCGGACTGAGGCGGAGCCGGAGCAGCCGCGGGAAGCCCTGGTGCTCTGCCTCGGCCGCGTTTTCCCGCCTTTTTCCTTGGTTTTTCCTGGAATTTTTCTGTATTTACCCATATTTTTCCCACATTTTCCCACATTTTCACACATTTTCCCACATTTTTCCCATATTTTTCCCACATTTTTCCCATATTTTTCCCACATTTTCCCCTCAGGACCGGACTGAGGCGGAGCCGGAGCAGCCGCGGGGGGCCCTGGTGCTCTGCTCCGGCCGCCTTTTCCCACCTTTTCCCTTGTTTTTTCCTGGAATTTTCCCGTATTTTTCCCACATTTTTCCCACATTTTCCCCACATTTTCACACATTTTCCCCACATTTTTCCCATTTTCCCCACATTTTTCCCTGTTTTCCCCTACAGGACCGGACTGAGGCGGAGCCAGAGCAGCCGCGGGGGGCCCTGGTGCTCTGCTCCGGCCGCGTTTCCCACCTTTGCCCTTGGTTTTTCCCAGAATTTTTCTGTATTTTCCCACATTTTTCCCATATTTTTCCCACATTTTCCCCACATTTTCACACATTTTCCAATTTTTCCCACATTTTTCCCACAATTTTCCCACATTTTTCCCTGTTTTTCCCCCACAGGACCGGACTGAGGCGGAGCCGGAGCAGCCGTGCGGGGCCCTGGTGCTCTGCCTCGGCCGCGTTTCCCCACCTTTTCCCTTGGTTTTTCCCGGAATTTTTCTGAATTTTCCCATATTTTTCCCACATTTTTCCCACATTTTTCACACATTTTTCCCATATTTTCCCCCAATTTTTCCATTTTTCCCTGTTTTTCCCCTCAGGACCGGACAGAGGCGGAGCCAGAGCAGCCGCGGGCTGCCCTGGTGCTCTGCTCAGGCCGCCTTTTCCCACCTTTTCCCTTGGTTTTTCCCGGAATTTTTCTGTATTTTCCCATATTTTTCCCACATTTTTCCCACATTTTCATACATTTTTCCCATTTTTCCCACATTTTCCCCTGTTTTTCCCCACAGGACCGGACTGAGGCGGAGCCAGAGCAGCCGCGGGGGACCCTCGTCCTCTGCTCCGGCCGCCTTTTCCCGCCTTTTTCCTTGTTTTTTCCTGGAATTTTTCTGTATTTTCCCATATTTTTCCCACATTTTCCCCACATTTTCCCCCAATTTTCCCCAAATTTTCATACATTTTTCCCATTTTTCCCACATTTTTCCCTGTTTTTTCCCTCACAGGACCGGACTGAGGCGGAGCCAGAGCAGCCGCGGGGGGCCCTGGTGCTCTGCTCCGGCCGCCTTTTCCCTGGGTTTGTCCGTGTTTTTCCCCACTTTTCCCCCACATTTTCCCATATTTTTCCCACATTTTTTCCCATTTTCCCACATTTTTTCCCATTTTCCCACATTTTTCCCACATTTTCCCTGTTTTCCCCTCAGGACCGGAGCGAGGGTGATCCGGAGCAGCCACGGGGAGCCCTGGTGCTCTGCTCTGGCTGCGTTTTCCCACCTTTGCCCTTGGTTTTTCCCGTAATTTTTCTGTATTTTCCCACATTTTCCCCACATTTTCCCACATTTTTCCCACATTTTTCCCATATTTTCCCCCAATTTTTCCATTTTTCCCTGTTTTTCCCCTCAGGACCGGACTGAGGCAGAGCCGGAGCAGCCGCGGGGGTCCCTGGTGCTGTGCCTGGGCCGCCATTTCCCTGGGTTTCTCCGTGTTTTTCCCCACTTTTCCCCCACATTTTCCCGTATTTTTCCCACATTTTCCCACATTTTCTCACATTTTTCTCACATTTTTCCCACATTTTCCATGTTTTTCCCCGCAGGACCGGAGTGATTCGGAGCCGGAGCAACCACGGGGGGCCCTGGTGCTCTGCTCCGGCCACATTTTCCCACCTTTTCCCTTGGTTTTTCCCTGAATTTTTCTGTATTTTCCCATATTTTTCCCATATTTTCCCCACATTTTCACACATTTTTCCCACATTTTCATACATATTTCCCATTTTCCCCACATTTTTCCTGTTTTTCCCTCACAGGACCGGACTGAGGCGGAGCCGGAGCAGCCGCGGGGGGCCCTGGTGCTCTGCTCCGGCCGCCTTTTCCCTGGGTTTCTCCGTCTTTTCCCCCACATTTTCCCATATTTTTCCCACATTTTTCCCACATTTTCCAATTTTTCCCACATTTTCCCCACATTTTCCTTGTTTTCCCCCACAGAACCGGACTGAGGCGGAGCCAGAGCAGCCGCGGGGGACCCTCGTGTTCTGCTCCGGCCACCTTTTCCCACCTTTACCCTTGGATTTTCCCGGAATTTTTCTGTATTTCCCCACATTTTTCCCACATTTTCCAACATTTTTCCCACATTTTCCCACATTTTCCCACATTTTCCCCACATTTTCCCTGTTTCCCCGCAGGACCAGACTGAGGCGGAGCCAGAGCAGCCGCGGGGGGCCCTAGTGCTCTGCTCCCGCCGCCTTTTCCCGCCTTTTTCCTTGGTTTTTCCTGGATTTTTTCTGTATTTTCCCATATTTTTCCCACATTTTTCCCACATTTTTCCCATATTTTCCCCAAATTTTTCCATTTTTCCCTGTTTTTCCCCTCAGGACCGGACTGAGGGTGATCCGGAGCAGCCGCGGGGGGCCCTGGTGCTCTGCTCCGGCCGCCTTTTCCCTGGGTTTCTCCGTGTTTTTCCCCACTTTTCCCCCACATTTTCCCACATTTTTCCCACATTTCCCCACATTTTTACCATATTTTCCCACATTTTCCCTGTTTTTCCCCACAGGACCGGAGTGATTCGGAGCCGGAGCAGCCCCGGGCTGCCCTGGTGCTGTGCCTGGACCGCCTTACCCCACCTTTGCCCTTGGTTTTTCCCGGAATTTTTCCGTATTTTTCCCACATTTTTCCCACATTTTCACACATTTTCCCCATATTTTCCCACATTTCCCCCACATTTTCCTTGTTTTCCCCCTCAGGACCGGACTGAGGCGGAGCCGGAGCAGCCGTGGGGGGCCCTGGTGCTCTGCCTCGGCCGCCTTTTCCCACCTTTTTCCTTGGTTTTTCCTGGAATTTTTCTGTATTTTCCCACATTTTCCCACATTTTCACACATTTTTCCCACATTTTCATACATTTTTCCCATATATTCCCCCAATTTTTCCATTTTTCCCTGTTTTTCCCCCACAGGACCGGACTGAGGCGGAGCCGGAGCAGCCGCGGGGGGCCCTCGTGCTCTGCTCCGGCCGCCTTTTCCCTGGGTTTCTCCGTGTTTTTCCCCACTTTTCCCATATTTTTCCCACATTTTCCCACATTTTTACCATATTTTCCAATATTTTCCCTGTTTTTCCCCGCAGGACCGGAGTGATTCGGAGCCGGAGCAGCCGCGGGCGGCCCTGATGCTCTGCTCCGGCCGCCTTTTCCCTGGGTTTCTCCGTGTTTTTCCCCCCTTTACCCATATTTTTCCCCCACTTTCCCACATTTTTTCCCATTTTTCCTACATTTTCCCTGTTTTTCCCCGCAGGACCGGAGTGATTCGGAGCCGGAGCAGCCGCGGGCGGCCCTGGTGCTGTGCCTGGGCCGGGTGGCGGCGGCGGCGCCCCCGGAGCTGCTGCGCTCCCGCCTGGAGCCGCGGATCCTCGGCTGCCTCCTGCAGCTCGGCCGCAGCAAGGTCAGAAAATCCGGGATTATGTGGGAATTGTACGGGAATTTTATGGGAATTTTTGGGGATTTTTTGGGGAATTTTTTGGGGATTTTTTTGGGAATTTTACAGGAATTTTTTGGGATTTTCTGGGAATTTTTTGGGAATTTTACAGGAATTTTGGGGGAATTTTTTTTTAAATTTTACAGGGATCTTATGGAAATTTTTTGGGAATTTTACAGGAATTTTACAGGAATTTTTGGGGATTTTTCTGGAATTTTTGGGAAATTTTACGGGACTTTTTTTGGGATTTTTTTGATTTTTACAGGAATTTTTTGGGATTTTTAAAGGAATTTCACAGGAATTTCGTAGGCATTGTTGGGAATTTTCTGGGAATTTTTTGGGAATTTTACGGGAATTTTACAGGAATTTTGGGGGAATTTTTTTTTTAATTTTACAGGGATCTTATGGAAATTTTTTGGGATTTTTACAGGAATTTTACAGGAATTTTTGGGGATTTTTCTGGAATTTTTGGGAAATTTTACGGGACTTTTTTGGGATTTTTTTGATTTTTACAGGAATTTTTTTGGATTTTTAAAGGAATTTCACAGGAATTTCGTAGGAATTGTTGGGAATTTTCTGGGAATTTTTTGGGAATTTTTTGGGAATTTTACAGGAATTTTGGGGGATTTTTTTTTAAATTTTACAGGGATCTTATGGAAATTTTTGGGGAATTTTACAGGAATTTTACGGGAATTTTACAGGAATTTTACAGGAATTTTTGGGGATTTTTCTGGAATTTTTGGGAAATTTTACAGGACTTTTTGGGGATTTTTTTGATTTTTACAGGAATTTTTTGGGATTTTTAAAGGAATTTCACAGGAATTTCGTAGGAATTGTTGGGAATTTTCTGGGAATTTTACGGGAATTTTACAGGAATTTTGGGGGATCTTATGGGAATTTTATGAGAACTTTACAGGAATTTTACAGGGATTTTCTGGGAATTTTTTGGGAACTTTACAGGAATTTTGGGGAAATTGTTGGGATTTTTTTTTTTAATTTTATGGGAACTTTACAGGAATTTTCTGCGAATTTTACAGGAATTTTACAGGAACTTTGAGGGATTTTCTGGGAATTATTGAGGAATCTTACGGGAATTTTACAGGACTTTAGGGGAAATTTTTTGGGATTTTATGGGAATTTTTTGGGAATTTTACAGGAATTTTACAGGAATTTTGGGGGATTTTTCTGGGATTTTATAGGGATTTTATGGGAATTCTTTTGGATTTTTTGGGGAATTTTACAGGAATTTCCAGGAAATTTTACATGAATTGTTTTGAAATTTTCTGGGAATTTTTTGGGAGTTTTACAGGAATTTTTAGGAAATGTTCCAGAATTTTTCCGGAAGTTTTCTGGGAATTTTCCATGAATTTTTAGGAAATTTTACAGGAATTTTCCGGAAGTTTTCTAAGAATTTCCCAGGAATTTTCTGAGAATTTTCCGGGAATTTTCCAGGAATATTTTTGAAGTTTTCTAGGAATTTTTTGGGAGTTTTACGGGAATAGTTTTGGACTTTTACAATAATTTTACAGGAAGTTTCCAGGATTTTTCATGATTTTTCCACAATTTTCCAAGAATTTTCCAGGAATTTTCTGAGAATTTTCTTGGACTTTTATAGGATTTTTCTAGGAGTTTTCTGAGATTTCCCAGGAATTTTCCATTAATTTCCCAGGAATTTTCTGGGATTTGTTGGGAAGTTTTCCCAAAAAAATTAAATTTAAAAAGGGGGGGGTCATTCCCAGGGTTTTGAGGTTGCCTTTCAGCCAATGAAATTTGGGAATTTTTTCTCACTGGAATTTCCTTTTTTGTTCCTGAGGGGGTTTCGGATTTCCCAATGGAATTTCTTTTTTTTTCCAATGGGATTTGGGTTTTTTCCCCCTCTGGAATTTTGTTATTCCTGATGGGATTTGGTTTTTTCCCAATGGAATTTCAGCTTTTCCAACTGGGATTGGCTTTTCCCATTGGAATTTTGTTTTTTCCCAATGGGATTTGGCATTTCCTGACATATTTTGGGTTTTTCCTGCTGGGATTTCAGATTTTCAAATGGAATTTTATTTTTTTTTTCCCCCCTGGTGGAATTTGGTTTATTCCAAGAGAATTTTGCTTTTCCCGCTGGAATTTTGCCTCTTTCCCAGGGGAATTTGGGATTTTCCTGATGGGAATTTTGGTTTTTTCCACCCGTTCAGGTTCTGGGAATAAAAGTAGAGACCAAGGTAGGGAATTTTGGGATTGGCCTTGGAATTTTTCCTCTTTCCGCTTTTTCCTCTCACTGCGGGCTGGAAGCGCTTCCCGAAAAAACAACGGAATTCCCGGGAAAATTCCCAGGAAAAAGGGATGGGAAAGGCGGACCTGGAGCTTCCGGCCCAGATGATCCCGGAATTCCACGATCCCAAAATCCTGGAATTCTGTCATCCAAGAATTCTACAAATCCACGATCCCGGAATTCCATGAATCTGGAATTCCATGATTTCAGAAATGCCAAGATCCCGGAATTCCAGAAATCCCTGATCCCGGAATTC